CTGGAAACTCGTGTTATGGAGGGCTCTGTCGTGTTTCGTAAACTGTAGGCCTATAATCAGCACTTGAAGGGCCTAACGGAAATCCTGACATTCGATTCAAGATAAATTCCGGCTGAACTTTCTGCAACCAAGTAGACCCTTGTATCATCATGTGGATTGAACTGCGCTTACGAGAAGCTAAACCATAATTACACCCAAAGTTTCCTGATGCCTGTTCAGATTCTAAGACCCGAATGCTGAAATCTCTTTTAGGGAAGATAAAGGGGCCATTAAACTAAGGATATCTTTTTCCCCATACGAGTCCATATATTTTTCAATGGACCGTAAACTAAAGGAGGTTTCAGCATTCGGGCCTAAGTGTGTGTAGGGAAAAACCCACTCACCCAGAAGCAATGGCGGAGAAGCCACGAATGAGACTGGGGAACGGAAACTCGTGAAGAAGTGTGGCAGCCAGGGAACGAGCCTGGCTATAGCTGAGCGGGATTCAGGCTAGTGCTTGGAGCGCACGCATCGATCCGCCATTGCCGCTTCCGGTGCCTCCCACCGCAGACTCGGATAGAATAATATTCAACCCTCAGAGGTCCTTTCGAACGGAACTACTTCTTCTGCGCCATGCGTTCGCAACAAAAGAAAACGAAAGCTGTGATGACCTGCAGGACTTGATGGATTCCTTATTACCAAACCGCATCACGAAGGGTAGAGAAAGGAGAATGCCAATGATGGCACGACAACGAAGCGCGTTGTTTGCATGGATTCAAATCTGGGAGGAAGTGAACAGGGAAAAAATAATGATTCCCTGTACCTCCGAAAATATGTTGACAGCTTGGACCGAAGTAGAATTCCTAACTCTTAGAAATCTAAAGTAGAAAACGAGGAGAAAAAAATATTATTGATGATAAAAAAGGGATTTAAAATTTCCTACATATCTTGCTTCAAAATGATCCTTGGCACTGCTATTACGTCATCAAAACTTTATTGCACCATAGCATGGCATTTTTGTCAATTTGGTAAATACAGAATATATCACAGAAGCTTTTCCTCTATTCCATCGTTGCCCATTTGGTCAGTGACATTGTGTTTTTATTACAGGAGAGTAGATGATATGTGTTGGCTGACTCCCCACAAAGCAAACATGCACATCCTTCTTTTGCTTTGTGGAAGGCTTTGGTTTTGCAGATCTTAAAGTGGAATCCATGGAGGGCGTGTCGAGTCAATACATGTCGAATCTTGTCGTTTGGTCCTGTCCACTGGTCTCCTGTTAGGGCCGGTGTTTTCCAAAAATCTTCTTCAATGTCCCTTCTCTTCCCTTCAATCTCTGTTCTGTATTGCTTGGTTTGCATGTTCTCTGGGAGGTTCATTTCACGTAGCAGATCCTCAACTAGAGTTTCCTGGTGGCACATGGCCAGCACCAGTGTATTGGATGCACTTGGGGGCAAGGATAGCATTCTCTTCAAGAAGGTGGTTTTTGCCCTATCTAAGGTGTGCAGGTTTGCTGCTTTTAGGTGGGGCCAAATCGGTTCTATGGCATATGTAAGGATTGGTCGAATTTTGATGTTGAAAAGTTTGACTCCTGCCTGAACAGACAGCTTGCGTGGATTGGGCAGGGAGAATGTTGCTCGTGTAGCTCCTACAACCACGTTCTTAATATGTTCTGTGAAGCAGCAAGTTGTCTGGAATGTGACCCCTAGGTATGTATATGAGTTGGTTATATTTAGGGGGTGACTATCAAATTCAAAGACATCCGCGTTGGCCCAGCGACCCCCCCCCTCCTAAACTTCATAATTTTTGTCTTCTCTGAGTTGACTGCGAGTCCATTCTCCTCTGACCAAGTTTGTAAGGCCTCCAGACCTTTCGCTATTGCTTCCCGGGAAGGGGCAGTGAACAGTAGGTCATCTGCGAATAGCTTTACCTTCAGGGAGGGGTGGGCCGTTTTGATAGCAGAAGGAAGATCCCAGGTGAAGCAGGCAAAGAGGTATGGACTCAGGGAATCCCCTTGAAGTACTCCCAATTTCTGTGCGATTGGTTTTGTTCTTCGTAGTCCATCGTCGATTCTGATGTAGTTATCTGACAGGATGTTCTTGAGGAGTCCAAGGAGTTGTCCCCTTAGTCCTAGTCTCATAATCTTGTTGATAAGTCTCTCCCGTGGGACTAAGTCAAATGCCTTTTTGAAATCCACGAAGGCCGCGTAAATGAAGGCGCGCTTCTGTTGTAGTTGTTCCTGAATGTCCTTGATGAGATCTTGGATGGGTTGGATGGTTGATCTGCCTGGCATAAATCCATGCTGTTCCTTGGGGATGTAGTGGTCCAAGTAATTCCGTAGCCGACTCTCCACCATTTTGGTCAGTATTTTGAAGGGGCAGGAGAGCAGCGCAATTCCTCGGTAGTTGTTTGGTTAATTAATTTCACCTTTTCCCTTGTAGAGGACTTTAGTCGTGCTGTTTTTCCAGTCTGCAACGATTCTCCCTTCCTTCAAGCATTGGTTGTAGATGTTCGTCCAGAGGCGGGCAGTGACGTCAAGGCTACCCTTTAGGTGTTCATATGAAAGTAGATCAGAGCCTGTTGCTTTCTTGTTCGGCCGGGTGAGGATTGTTTTGATCACTTCACTCTCTGTAAAGGGGCGGTTGTAATCTGCTTCTCCACCCATGCGCAGGAAGTCACTTGGAACTCTAAGTTCAGGTAGTACGTCAGGTGGGCTTAAGAGTGCTGAGAAGTGCTATTGCGTAGAAGTATGAATATTTTCTTTCATGAAAGAATCCAAAATCTGTGCGAGTTTCAGCATCGGGTATACCTTTTCCTTTCCCACCTGCGGAAGGGTACAAGGATGCTAGATCCTCTTTATAAAAATTCCTAGATTGTTCCAACCAAGCCCTGTCAAAAGTTGGCCTACGAGAAGAAAGGACGTGACCAAGGATGCAGATTTCGCACTCGGGAGTCTCCTGGGAAAAAGGATTGTTTCGACCTTTATGCCCTCTCGTGACCCAACTTCATCTTCGCATATCAAGCAATATCAATGCCCCGTATCAGCTACATATCGATCTCCAGATATGTAAGAAAATTATTTTACTTCACGAACCTTAACTCTTAACGATGTTTATTTCAACTAAATTTAGTTCTTAAAATTATCATCAGTATTGGAGTTACTCCAATACCACCAGTGAAATGACAGCATAGTTCTTCAAATTAATGAGATATTCATCAACTCACAGAACAGTTTTCTTTACTTTTTTCAAGTACTTCTTCAATCGAGTTCCAAGATACTCTTCGCAAGTTGTTTCATATACTCTATTCAGAGTTAGTGGATTGACTATCCAACACGGGGAAAAAATTGCTTGAATATAGCAAATTTGGCTGTGAAAGATCGTCTTTTAATTTCAAAAGAATGTAAGGATCTTTCTAGCATCGATAATATCTTTGATAACTCTTTCCTTCCATGCTTTATCATAAATCTCGCTTTCCATAATTAGCAGAGCCTCTGAATGCCTAAAGGAGCACGCTCATCCAAGGTCAAGATGAGCTTATTTCATTCACACTTCCATGCAAAAGAATGTGCTGATATCATTTGCCCTGAGTAGTGCTTTCGGTTCGACGTCGCTTGGTCATGGAGACATCCATGTCGCGCATGCGCCAATTGTGATAGTGTAACTGACCTTGGCAGGATTTCCGTTAATCTTCCCTCGCACTTGCGTTTTCCGTGCAAGACGCTTCTGCATACAACCGATAGTTTCGTGTGACAGGACCAAGACATCCGCACAATGTCGAATGTTCTGCAGCAGAGCTGAAGTGCATGGAAAAAGCGAGGAAAGACTGGAGTTCCGTGCCAAGAATCGCTATCTATCGAGCAATTTGTTTATTGGGCTCGATCGTGAAGTCTCCTTCGAGAAGATGCCGAGCTGTGCTGGCCCCTTGTATAGCTATTATTTATTAAAATTTGGGATGCTTCATGTGCCTTTTTTTTTAAGGTTCTCTCAAGTTGTAAAGCTTGGAGAATTAGCTAGTTTGATTTCGAAAGGTCTTTTTATTTTTCTTCCCTCCTTTCCTTTCATCCTCTAATATTACATGAGTGACGCTGCTGCATTTAGAAAAAATAAATTTTGAGCTGAATGTTGAGTTCATTTCATGTCCGCTTATATCCTATAGGCTTCGCTCTTCGCCTCTACGTTCTTCCCTATTCCCCAGGTTGGCTTAATTGAAGATGACATGTAGGGGAAGAATTCAACAGTATCTCATATTACCATTATGATAGTACTCGTATTTTATTGCAGCTAGGGATGGATCGGGCAATTATCACATTTATGAGCCTTCGAACTACCAATCTCCAGGAAGTGATTCTGATTCGGGCCTTTTTTTCCATGAAATGTTCATATTTGTATAAATAGTCTGAAAAGTCGTTCAGGGCATCAGCGATCCAATTATAACACCACTTCCGTGATTTCATTACCTTAATGCGTCACCTATCGTCATAAGCATGTGCTTATTTTTTTGTTTGGGAGACGAAACCTGCAAATTTGCCAAGATATACAGTATATACAGTAGTAGAGACTTCATGACGGCAGTGAGATCCATACTGAGTCTCAATGAAATCATGCGGAGTTGGTCATGCATCATTGCGCCCGATTCGTCACGCTCTCGTCAGCTGTGGCCGACAGGCTACGATGGCCGGTAGACGTAGGCTTCAGAATCGTATTATGACAATGTTTTGTAATCAGAGAAGGCACCGAAGCAACACCCGGTCTCATTTACAATTCCTGTTCCCAGTTTGGCCTGCTGTTTCTGGCACTGTGGGCCATACCTGATATTTTAATTCACGAGCTCAAACTATCCCGGCTTGCCTGTCACAGCTTACACTTGCCATGCCAAGAGGGAACTGGCAGTCGGAGATGGCGTGTGAAGAGAAAGACTGTCTCAGACTTGATATAGCATTTTTTTTTTATGAAGTTTTCTTGATAAAACATACAAATATATTATTTGAATCGATTCATGCAAGGTAATGCCTTTGCTTCTTACACCTTGGCGTTTTCTACGATCCAGTCAAGGTATTGTGCTACGTTAGTGTAAACGCCAGGAAGTTTAGGTCGGGCGCATCCAACGCCTACTGACACTATCCCAGCCACGATGTACCTCCCGTTCTTGCGCACCACCATCGGTCCACCACTGTCCCCCTGAAACGTTCATGCGGAATGGTTACGTCGAGCCTTCCAAAGGTCAATCATCACTCGAGTATTGGACATTATCTTAGTTCTTGAGGGCTGCATACCACTAAGTACAGAGTTGATATACCTGGCAGGCATCATAGAGTCCGGAATCAAACCCGGCGCAGATCTGTCTCTCAATGATGTTGAAATGTTGGGCCATCAAAGTCTTGCATTTGTTATTCTCCAAAATCGGTACAGTAACTTTCATTAGCGTCACGGGTGATAGCCCTCCTGCTTTCAGCGACCATAGGGAAAGATCCAGCGAATCAGGGAAAATAGTTATGAAGATTCAATCATGTTACTCACTACCAAATAAGCAACAGCATGAAGGAGTTGAGCTATGTTGATGAAATTTCTTCAGGGGAATTCTCGGTAGCGTACGAGGAAATCGATTGCGTTTCTTAGGTCATTGATGACATGTTATTCTGCTCAATGCAGTCGACTCTCGATCATCACTCGTGCCAGTTTGTTTTTCGTTTTCCAATGTAGAGCTGTACGCGATGCGGGTTGCTAATTTCACCCACTTGATCGATATCAGTTAAAATGGCATGCATTGCTGTATGGGAAGAAGAATCAAGCTAGTCTAGAGAGATAAGTATCAAGCTCAATGGCTGATTATGTTGTCATGCTACCGGTAGTGATAGTAATCCTTGCCATTTTAATTGACCTTTCACCTAAACTGAAGCGTGTTTTAAACAGCTTCTCCTTGTCATTTGCTTCATAGTTAAATGCTCAGCAATGGCGCGAGTGATAAAGTCTATAATGACAAATGACGATTCGTTATCTAATCCCCCTCTCTTACAATTGAGCGTCCGGCGAATTTTCTCAGTAACAGTTTATCCTACGACCTTGAGACAATATCAATTCACGTAATTTAGTTTCTGCACCAAACTTCTTTGATATAGTCCAACTCCTTGGTTTTGTTTCTTTGGCGATGAGTATATTCATCATCAGTCATTTAAACCTGAACGGAGACCTTCCCATGAATACGCCTTTTCATGAAATGGCGTATACGTGGGGAGACCTTGGGGATAACAGAGCGAATAGATTATTATTGTGAAATGGCAAAGCTAACTTACCCTCGGATAATCTTCCCCATCCTGCAACAATACCCGAAAGTCCATGAAAGTCGGTGTCTTCGGAGTCAGGAAGGCACGCAGGCTCTGTGAGGTCATCCCACACCACAGGTTCTTTGAGGCGGATCAGGGCAATGTCATGATGATGGGTGACGCTGGAATAACCCGCATGGCGAATCACTTTATCGTGTTTCATTACGTATGATGGCAGTTTCTCCTGTTGTTCCTTTATGCGATGATCCCGTATGGTAACTTGTATCTGGCGAGCCAATTCCCTGACGAAAGATATTTTATGGTTTCAGCCCTTATCTGTGAAAGGATTCTGACAGTCGTGTCTAGGTCCAATTGAGGCAATTCTCCCCACGAGGCTTCTAGTAGGTGCCATGAAACTTCTACAATAAGTAGTCCTTACCCTTGGACGCAATGGGCGGCAGTAAGGACGAATCTCTCACTGATGAGTGTACCACCGCAGATGTGTTTCCCCTTAGTTTTCAATTTGAGAGAGACTATCCAAGGTGCCTCATCTCTGCTCGCTTCAGTTCCTCCCACGATCTTACCTGCTCGCTTCAGTTTTCCGCATTCCTTCAGCACTGCCACTTGAGTGTCACAGAATAAATTTCTCAGTCCTCGGCGTTCAATTTAGCAAGAAAGACGTCTGGTCAGGATTGTGGTATTCAGACTTACGGTTCAAGGGGTTGACGAAGCTGAGCGTCGAAAGAATGAAGAACAAGATTTGGAATGGAGAAGTACTGACCATCTTGCCAGGTGTTTCTTCCACGAATTCTGTGATCCTGATGAGCTATGAACGCATCGTTCCTGCTTTATAAGCGTACGACTCGAATTAGGTCAATGTCTGATATCCATGCTGTCTTCCCTTGACGTCGTCCTCTTCCCACATTTCCCCTTCCCTCATCTCAGTCTCATTTCAAGGCTTCCTCAGATAAGTATCTCTTCCTTGTCCTTACGTAATCAGAGTTCATGACAGTACGGTGGGATCGATAGATAGCAATCAATAACATAAGCATAGATTGACAATCCATCTATTTGCTTCATTTCCATTCTGGATGGGGTTCCGAAGCCCTCTGTGTACAAACTTTGAAAAAGTGCATGATTCTTTCACTTTCGATAGGAGTAGGGAATGCATGGAAATGGTGTTTGAGTGGATGCACTCAGTTGAAAAAGTTTCCCCTGAGAGTCTACCGAAAACGTGTTAAATACTAGTTCACAGTTGTTCCAGATGTGTTCCAATGCAGCATCGTGCACCGTTCTGTGTATATATAACTCACGTGGCAATATACCTACTAGTAAAATCCGCCGAAAGTTACTGACCATGACAATTTCTTTTTATCACCAACAGAGTTCCTTAAACGAAAGACCGCTGAAAATTTTTCCATGAATCTCAAAGTGAACATAGTTAACGCCTGCCTAGTGGTCAATGATTTCGACGAGTAATATATGAGCTACAGCCAAAGTTCCGTTCCTTTTTGATCAGTCTAGTATACCCTGAATTTGCACATAAGCTGTTAGGCCCGTATTCACATCGCTTCCCTAACTGTTAAAGGACTCTAATTAAAGAAAATTAGGGATCCCCTAGATGTTCTGTATTCACGTTCATCCTCCAGCTAAGTGATACTTAAACCCAACCCTAGTAGAAGAAGATGGGAGAGTTTCTAGTTTTCCCTTCTACAGTACTGTAGATGCCTGTTAGTTCGCTGCTCTATCTCCTGCAGTACCTCATCAATCGATTTTTATCCTGGTATTTCGTTACTTATGCTAGTGTCCATGGGTGGAAATACACCCTAAAGATCCGTTTTTCTTTTCATTCAGGTCATCCAGTTGAAGGAGAAGTCAAATGAAACCCGTTCTTGCTGCTGTGTATAGACGTCACGTTGCTCTGACTATAGCTATTAGCGCAAAACTTACAATGCGCATAGGCTTATATGTTTTCACGAGATTTGTGGAGTTTCATTCAAATGCATTGTGGCAAGGCAAGGCTGTTATAGCCATATTTCAAAGAAGTTGGAAACTGTTGCAGTGGACAGGAGCGCATGCTGATAGATTAGTAGAGGAAACACCTTCGTTCTGCTGTTTGCATGCTATCCAGATCGCATCATACATGTAGTGCTTTAAAAGACAATTTTAAGGACGACACGTGCAGAGAACCTACAACACCAAGGAAAGCTGGAAAAAAATATTTGTGTTCTCAGAATTTTCAAAAGTTGATAGAGATAGCAGAAAAAGACTTGCACAAGAATTAGGAATTATTTGAACATCCAGAGAAAGTCCTTCTCAGAGAAAGAGGATGCTACTGTATTTGGGCCTTGCGAAAGTGACTCGATTTTACCAAGACTAGCCCGCCTCGACAAATATACAATATATTGGGTTGGAAAGAAAGTCTTGCAACACTTTCTAAAACTATTTATAAAAATTTTCAAAGGAATGATGGGCGGGGCTTTGCATTTGTATATGCTGGAATGTTCTCGAAGCTTCTGCCCTCGGGGTATATAAGGCGGCTTCTGCCATTAGTTGGCAGCCATGGCTCCGATCGAACAAGCAACTCTTCGCCCCATCGTCGACTACGAGTTCCTCCAAGGACACTCTGCGAGAGCCGCCGCGGACAACATCTGCGCTGCATTCAAGGGCAACGTCGTCCACTGTTCCACGGTGTCTCGATGGTTCAAACGCTTGGAATCTGGCGACACGACCTTCGGAGATCGACCACGCTCAGGAAGTCCATCTACAGTCGATGATGAAGCCCTGCGGAACGCCCTCAACGCGAAGCCGAACGCCACCACTCGGGAATATGCGACTACACTTGGAGTCACCCATATGGCCATCGGCAACCATCTGAACGACCTCGGCTATCGGAAGGTTTACTCGACATGGGTCCCTCATCAGCTCAGCGACTCTGAGCCGTGTCAGTGTCCGCGAGTCACTGCTCCTTCCTCCGCACAGAAAGGACCTTCTGAAGGAAATCGTTACTGGAGATGAGAGCTGGGTCCTCTACGTCAACCATACTCGCAAGAGTCAGTGACTTCCACGAGGAGAATTGCCGCCACACGAACCGAAACCAGGGTTCCGCGAGAAGAAGGTTCTTCTCTGCTGTCGGTGGGATTCAGAAGGAATGTTGTACTATGAGCTCCTGCCAACCGGTACCACCGTGACTGCCGTCGTCTACGCTGCTCGACTTCAGAAGTTGGCTGGCGTCATTCAAAAAGAGCGTCCCAAACGCGACAAAGTTCTCCTTCTGCATGACAACGCTCGTCCACATGTTGCGAAGATGACTCGCCAGACGATTTCGGAGCTGGGCTGGGAAGTTTTACCCCATCCAGCGTATTCTCCGGACTTGACCCCTTCCGACAATCACTTGTTCCGGGCCCTCAAGAATCACCTGCGGGACAAGGCCTTCGACGATCGAGCTCAGCTCGAAAATGATGTCGGCCGTTTCTTCGCTTCGCAATCGCCAGAGTTCTGGGCAAAGGGCATCGAGCAGTTACCCGTGCGTTGGGAACATGTCATAGACAACAATGGTCATTACATTGTAGACTGAAATTGCATTTCAATAAAGTTATAAAATTTTGAAAAATTTGCGCAGTGTTGCAAGACTTTCTTTCCAACCCAATAGTTTGATATTTCAGATTGGAGAAGCCACTAACGTCATTGGAGAAGAACTTCCAAATCTTACATTTCCCAATGACATTGTCGACATGTCGGAATTTTCTGTAGAAAATTTTGAAGAAATGTTGTGAGGACTTGTGCTGAAACTGAGGGATTAGGCCTGAAGATGAGCGCGGAATGAACAATCGTAGGCCTATAGGAAACTGCCCCAACTTCATTTGACCATTTTCAAAATGCGTTTACTCGTACAGTAAAGGATGGATAGCTTTCCTGTGACGTGTGATTGTTAGGCAAGAAGTCAACTTTCGTTATGGGAAATAAGGGGCCATTGTGTTGGCGTTTAATGATGCCTGTTGACTGTCGCTTAGATGTGCGTGGAACATGAAAGTTTACTCGCGCGAAAAGATAATTCATACGTGTTTCTTGAAAGGATGGTGCGTTTCCAAAGGAACAATGTCAAATATAATCATTTACATTGGAAAGAGGGGAGAAGCGAAGAAAGGCGTGAATTTTAGACGTAACAACGCAAGACCTGTACGTAATAATTAGCTTCTGTCTGAGGTTATTCATTTCGCGGAAATGGAAAATCCACCCAGCAAGAGATTACTTGCATGTAATGTAAGGAACACAAAGAGAAAAGCCCATGTCCTCAGCCCAAAACACATCAGGGTGAGGATTATGAATGCCTGAAAATTATGCGAGCGCCACCTGGCCAGTGAAAGGTACAAGTATATTATGACGCTCTATGAAACTTGGTTGCATCTTTCTGTTTGTGGAGAGAACCTGTTTATTTATTGCCAAAAACAGGGTTTTCGTTACCTAAACAGGGTTTGGGTTGCTGAAGCGTGCCCTTGTGAATCGGAGCTGCAAAACTTTGAGGTGGACTTCGGAAAGTTATCGGAGAGGAATGGGAGAAATTGAAAATCTCTGTGCTCCGTAAAGTTCTGGTAGAATAAAAAACTAAGATCCAGGGCTATTCTTCAAAATCAAGGACACAAGATGGAGCATGATAGTCTCTGAAAGAAGTAGTAAAAAGGTATAATATTCTGAATAAAAAATGGTCAAGACTGGGCAGCCTGTATTCGATGATCCTGTCCTCGACGGAAATCCCAATCAGAAGAGAGCAACTGAAGAATAATTTTTGTTTTAAATCTTCCTCAAAAACCTAATGGAAGTGATCCGAGACCATTCAGAAGAGGTGAAGAGATGAACTGTTTGTTGCTTGCTGGAGAGCGTTCGGGAAGCTCAGCAACATTATGAAGAGTGCGATGTCCTGGCTGAAGCGAAAGGTCTTTAACCTCTGCGTCCTCCCTGCAATGACCAATGGATTCGAATTGTGGACGCTGGCTAAAATGATGCTGACATACGCAGAAAGCATGGAGATGATGGGGGAGATTTATGTTAAGCAATACTTAGAAAGGAAAGCCTAGATCCGAGAAAGCACAGGAATAGGTGACATAATGGAGGCGAAGGGGAGGGATTGAAAATGAGCAGGCCAAAGTGGTTGCATATGAATGTAACACTAGCGGGAAAAGTCCGTCGACAATTCCTGTGTTACCGCTAGTGACTCCATGGAGCCATGATTACATGAGAAAGATGGGTTGTATGCCAGTGGCGTACTTTACGGGGGGAGCCAGCCGTCCCCCCTGGCGCTCCTGGGACAGAGCCTTTGAGGCAATCATTTTCTCCCCTGATATCGCTCAGGTGGGGTTTGGCGTCCCCACTCTATTGCCCTGCTCCACCTGACCCTTCAACCAAAATACGTCCCTGACTGTATCGACGTCTCATCGACACTCGCTGCAACGCGCTCGTAAGTCTTATGCATGTTGCCTTGTCCACAGTCCTTTGCGCACTCAAAATATGCACATTAAAAAAAAGACTAGGTTTAGGGCTCCGGTTTTCAAACTTTTTCTTCCACGCCCTCTCTTGAAATCTCACCGCTGCATCGTGTCCCATACATCCGAGTCACCGACAGAGGGGGGGATAGCTCGTGAGCACTTTTTCTGTTTCGCTGGTATCGTCCTTGTATTTACATCCCATTAAAATCTCAAATTTTCAGCTAGATTATAAGTGTGAATTCAGCCTTTTTCCTGCTGGGAAACTGCTGGTAGTAAAATTGCATACAGGTTGGTCTCCAGCTGGAATTTCTCAGTGGGACTCAGAATGGCTCTGTTAGTTGTTCCCTACTAGAGTCCAGTTTTGAAGGCAGCTGTAATCCTGTTTGGAGGATCCTGGATGGTTCTGAACTAGTTTCAGAACCAATTCTTACAAAATAAAAAAAAGGTTAGCTAGAATTCATAGCCCTTCGAAAATCATAATTACGCCATAACTTAAGTTTGATTTCTTAAAAAACATGTGCGCTTTCCCATGAGGTAGTTACTCCTGTTGTAAGTAGGTGGCGATTCGCGATCAGCTGCAATTGTAGTTAGTCAGCGGAGGCAGTGTAGGCAGTGTCTACCCTTTCTCCAATCATGAGCTGCTGCTGCAACAGTTCACGAACCTACGAGCATAAGAGAGACGAAGACGGATGCTATTAATATCGTCGGACTACCATGACATCAAGGACCTTCCTCTCCAATTGCGTGACCAGACTTACCACGTGATCCTATTCCCATTCCATGCTCAGTTTTTTGCCTAGACGGCTCCATCAGGAAAGAGTATTATCACCTGAGCAAGGTGTGTGTTTATGTTCAAGTAATTCTTTCGCCGCATTAGGGTATTGAGGTATCGCCTATTGAGGGCAAAATGAAGCAAGGACAAGTATTTTCAGTGAAGATGAGGCCTTCTTCTTGTTGTCTTGTCAGGGACGAGACAACAATTCGGAAAAAGCTCAAGAAGATACGGCACGTTGAGGAAGTGGCTCGTAGTCCTGGCGACGCATCACGAATCGCTCAAAAAGTGATAGCTCGGATGTATCTGTCGCATCCTCTGAATCATTCAGCTTACAACAAGCCGTGTCGACGATCGGTCAAACCTGAAGCATAGAAAAGAAGCTAATAAACGAACTATTTCAATGGACTAGGTTGTAACGAAAGTTTTTGTGCATACAAACAACGCAACAGTCCGCGAAGCACGATTTTTTCGTCACACATTCTGAACGCTGTAATTTTTTTATATGATAAATTGAGCGATTTGTAAAAAAAAAAAAGCAACATATATTTATACTCGGCATAAAACGCACTTTCGTTTGAATGGAACGCGGTTGGATGGAACGAATGACACCTGCAGTCTCAGAAAAAATTTTTCCTGAAATTCTAAAACCAATTAAGAGCTTGGGACTCTCCCGCTGGAATAGGACTGAATTTGTCACTGTAATCCAATTGCTTCCTTAATTGAATTGCAGCAGGAAAGAGAAAATGAAACCATTATCCCAACTGGAAAATTCCACCTGGAAACCTGTCTGGATCCAACTACATTTTAAAGCTCTTTCACAGCTTGCGTGGATGTCTACCGTCTAACTATAAATTATTGTTGTTTCAAAGCGAGCATCCCATATTTGCTGCATTGCGTAATAATTTGACTCTAATCTCCATCCCGCACCTATCATCCTCTCACGGCCCCCTAATGGAGGGAGAGAACGAGGTAGGGCTAGTTTGAAAACCGTTGGTGTAGGGAATAGCCAAGGGGCGGAAACTGGCGCTGCTGTCGCGGCACCTTTTGAAGCCATCTTTTTACAAGCATATCGCGACCACAGGCCGGCTTTGACAACCGACCAATCCCAATCGACTCGAGCTGCGACCAATCACACGCACCCAAAGTGATGTCACCACAACCGTCATGGCATTCCTCATTTCCCCGCTTGATATGCATGGTCTAATCAGCAAAGAGCCATTTCGAACCGTCAGAACAAACGTAATAAGTCTCTGACGGAATTTCTATACGTTTGCCTTTATAATTAGGACGTCACGTCCTGTTTTTTTCTATGCCTATCCTTATATTGAGGAAGAATATGGAATCCCTTAGGCTTCTTCCTATCCTTGGGCAATGCACATTTTTTCAGCAAGTGAGATGCTGAAGCTCTCATAACAAAGCTTTGCAACATAGTCATTTCATCCTATTTTATATGTATTGATTATCCTGAGGTATAAACTTTTTCTGGAAGTCTGGAGTGGGAAGATATGATTATGATTCACAATCATGGTCCTCAGGAAATGGGGTTCCTCCCCCCATGAAAGTACAGTGTTCTGTTCTCACTTGTTTCTCCATGCTTCCCATCACATTATACAAATTTTATTCCTGTAATACAAGGGCAATCATAAGCTCAGACAGAAAGGTCACTAAATAACAAAGATTAATTCAATAGTCAGTAGTTGTTCCATCTTGATATGAGACTGTGGTACAGGGGGGTATTGCCATAATTTTATGAATTTCCAGAGCTTGGAATATACCAAATCTGGAAGTGTGTCAATTCCTTATCTATATAGATTTAATTAATTCTAATCCTCATTAGGTCACACTGATGAGTTGGAATTCTTTAAATCCAGTTATATGGACACTGTAACACAAACCCTTTCTATATCCAAAGGATTCCATTTCCATGGTACTGGTCATCTCCCACGTCTGTTGCAAAATGATTAATCCAATTTCGAGAGAGAAATAATATTTATTTTGCTAACATTAATTCCATGCAATGAAATATTTGAGAGCCAACCATCCGCCAGACACCGCCCAATCTAGGATGACGTAAGGTGCTCCTTGATCCAAGGTGCGAAGAAAGAGACCCTGGTATAAATGCCAGCTTGATTTGGTCTGCCACATCCGATCCCGGCTGAGGTGATACCTATGAGTTCGTATGTGTCGCCCTTCTGCCTAACCATTGGACCACCGCTATCTCCCTGTCAGAAAAAGTTCAGAGACAACATCATTTCTTTTTAATTCTCATCAGTCACACGCATGAGCAGGTTATTCTATACATTCTCATACAAGCAACTCAATTAACTCAGTTTGGAGTGATTCATGAATTGATTCATGTTGACCATGCAGTCGTATGAGAAAAGAGCAGGTGTCAACTGGGCACCGGCTCTGATAGCACTATTCAGACACCTTCAGTTGCTATAATTTTGACATTCAGGAATCAAAATTTTCCCTGAGAGTGGCGAATGTCTTTCCAGAAGGAAAAAAAAAATCCCTTTCTTCGCTCTTTCTTATTTTTGTAGTCTTTTCCCCCCTTCTTGTTCTTTATTACTATCTGTTACTCTTAAAATATACCTGTCCTAATTGAAGCCAATAGATTTCCGTCTCGTAGTATTCAAATTACACAGTACGAATTTGGAACTCTCAGGTATCAGATGGAGAATGGAGTACTTTCCGTCATCAGGGACCCGCAATTTTCCTTTATGACTATTTTCAGTGAGTATCATCATGGCACTATCATAGCACTCTTAGGAGACACAACGTCCGAATTTAAACAGCTACACTTTGGATCAATGACAAGGAATATGTTCCATCATCATGAACAATTATAAGTATGCGAATTTTCAGCGATTTCCTACCCGAAGTATTCAAGTTAGACACGTCTTTCGGATTTCGAACGCCTGAGTATCGAACGAAGAATAGGGAATGATTTCCGTCAAGGATCGCAAATTACCTACGTACCAAATTTGCAGCGGGTTCCGTGTCATGGCATTCATATTTAGCGGTCGGATTTGGAATACGCAAGGGTATAGAATGAAAATTAGGGGATGCCTTTCCGCACGAGAGACCCTGAGTACTGTAGCCTTGAGCTCTGCACGGGATATGGATCGTCGCGATTTGACTGACCCAACCCGCGGATCGAGCGTATAGCTTGGTTGGCAATCAGGTTTCCGGTTGGGCGCGGACGAGTCAGAGAATTCGAGTTCTGAAGCTAAGTGGCCTAATCGAGCTGCGGTTCTGCCCGATCGGCCCGACCCGATCTGCGGGTTGGGCCCTTAAAGCCCAGACGGCGATCGAGTTTCGGATCGGGTGCGGGCCGATCCGAATTGGGTGAATTGGGCCGATCGGGTTCGGTTCGGAAAAAGTTATATTTTTAGGATCCATGAGGTTATCAAAAGCTGAAACTGAAGATCGGTTAACGGATACAGTAGAATTTGCAGTGCTCTCATCGTGCTAGTCCACTAAGGATGACATGATGACAGCATTGTCTTTTGATAGATGACTGTGATCCAGGAGTCGTTTCCTTCGCCAGATTCAGAAAGAAAAATTTGGGTCTTTCAAAATTTGATCAAACCGCTCACGATGAATCGAATTAGAGTCTTTGATCAAATAAGAGCCCTTTCATTTCTCTGACTTGTAGAAGAAGGCGTCCTTATCAAGTCGACTCCAAGTCAAGAACACCCTCGTGCGCTAAGAAAACGTGTTGTAATAAGATCTGGGGGGAAACCTTGCTTACGTTGCAGGTGTCTTTTCCTCCTTCTTTGATTCCAGCGCAGAACTGGACGCTTGTATCTTGTACATGAGCTGCTACAGTAGGGAAACCTGCTTCCTTGAATCTCTCAGAACACACCTTATTGGAAATGATGGGGATGTCAACCTTACGAAGGGTTGCTGAGCTCTTCCCATCTGCAAGAAAAGGAGGATAACCTTTTACGCAATGCATTTGACATTACTTTGATGATGATGATGGTGGTGATGATGCTACTTGATGTTTCAGAGCCCCAGCCCATTGTGATGCCTAGGACATTTTCCAAATTCTCTTGTTCGTCATCATGAATACAGATTGGCCACTTATGGCTGTCCAGGTTGACCTCTCGGTCCAGTGTGAGGACCGCCACGTCATTTTCGTAGGTTCCAGAATTGAAAGACTCGTGCTTGACCCAAGAAGTTATCCGGAAGCTTTCCGAATCGGGGGTTTCGGGCTCCTTAAGGTTGTGTTCGCCCAGTTTGATCTTGAAATCTGATAGTTGCCAACTGCAACATAAAATTAAGATGTCTTTATACTGATTTCGTCCATGATCAGTGAGCGGGTACTTTTTAACTTTTTAACTGACCTTATGATACAGTGTGCCGCAGTGAGGACGTGCTTCCGAGACACAAGAGCACCGCCGCACCAAGTTTTATCTTGTGGGATATTGTGGATCAGAACCATGAATTTGAATTCTCCCGGAGAAGCGATAGATCCTCCCAATATCCTTCTTGGGGACTTCCATAGGCAGCTAGTTCCATATCCCCTGCACCCTGGATAAATCGAAATCGAAGCAGAACTCTCAATCAGACCTCTGTGTTGAATGGAAATGAGGGTACTTTCGAGTTGAAATCACGAACAGTTGAGCACGATGCAGAGGAGACAGGTCACACGGGAAGCACTTAAATCCAGAATCATGATTCTTGAAGGTGTACTGATATCATCACGGAACACGATACTCTATTTATAGCGAAGGTTCTTTGTCCCTGAAAGGCTTACAGATATGCTGGTTCCTGGTTCACCCGGTTCAGGGGAAATAAATACGTCATGTTTCTCTACACACCGTGAGTGTATCTGGTTGATTTGGATGAATTTACATCAAGATAGCAATATTCTCAAACCTTGGCTTGGACAGTTTGCATTGTATAAAAGTGTCGCCTCTCATGTTCGCACACAATAACGGATTAGGAAACTACGATGGCGTTCTGTTGATTTTGTATGTCAATATGGCCGGATAGATTATGCGGGAAAGCTAAGTCTAGGACTTCCGCTTCCTCCTCTTGCAATCGGAGGACCTTGTAATGAATGGTTCCTCGCTGGATAAATAGCTTATTATCTTCAGTCCCTCATTGCGGAGAATCTGGTAAAGGTGTACGCAGGGTTGTGTTTTTGGCTAGGATGTCTTATTTTTGCCCAACATTTGGCAGAGATTTCCGAATATCTCAAGAAAAACTTAAACCCAGTCATAGCGGCTGTGAAAAGGGTGATGGGAGTCGACATACTCTGTATCGCCTTCGAAGACTCGGTTGAGCTTTTACGAGCAAACTGGGGAGCAGGCAGAACCCAGGAGGACAACCTCAGAGGGTATATAAATGAGACGCATCTCTGCCGTGCTGGATTGAACAATACGTATGCAATTTTTTAAGGGATGATTTAAGTAATAGTTTTGTTTCTTTTAATTATAATACGAGATAGAGCAGTTTCACATAAAAATAGTGCTTATGATCTAAATGCGCCTGAGTCACACTGGAACTTGAACTGGAAAGTATACGACTTTTACGCGATGTTGTTTTTGCCAATGATCCATGGCGAATAAAACTCCTATGAATGGGTTAATAATTACAAAAAAAAGTTGAATGTAACCTTTAGTTGTTGAGATATTTCAAATTTAAATGCGTCTGAAATAAAATGATCACCCTGTATAACAATCTCGTTTGTGCGGAATGAATCGCATATGCTTTGCTTGCGAACCATCTGAAACCAACGAATTTTTATGTTCTCACGTGCTACATGTAGAAAAAGCAATGACCTTCCGGATGCTATCTCGCGAATCCGGGAATTCCATATGCCACTTTCGCCCGTACGGAGGGGCATTTTCCTTCTCCCAGGATATTAGTACATTACTTCCCTCTAAGTTCCGTTCCTGCGTCCTGCTTCACACATTCGCGATGGATCGAGGAAGGAAATTCATTGCGACATTGCTGCGCATTGATATCTAAATGCTGACGTGTCAGTACACTGGGTTCACCATTCACTGTTTCCTTTTTTAAGCATGAAAATTGCCCATTCTTTTTTATCCTTTATCCTTCCTGAGATCGAAGGTTGCATGTCCTCTGAAGAAGGTTTGAATATTACTAGCAGGTTATAATGACTTTTGAGTTTCTTTGGAATTGAATGAAATGAATTTCGGGACCTCATCACCGAAAGTAGAGCAGCTCATATGATCATGTATGGAGCACTTCAGTTGGCTTGCAGTTATCTGATTCTGTATTCTGCTCACTAAGACTGAATGCCATGTTAAACGCTGTGTGGGTTACATCACGACTTTCCGATGCGACCGAGTCACCCGCATCTTGGCTGACGTGGAGGGAGTGTTTTCTGGGTCACATTAGTCATATGTGACGTGACTGCCTTATGTTAGCGAATGGGATTTCAGAGGCCTAAGTTGTAACACACAATAGTGACGTCAGTGTTCGTAGTAGCTACTGACTTCACAATTATTTGTGGCCATACGTCTGGCCCGGAGTAGAGCAATTTTATCCGCTCTCTTGCAGTGACAGTGATGGACACAGAGTACATTAGGGGAGCGACAGAGATAGGATTTTTGATAATTTAATTCACCCCCCCCCCCCCGTGCGGAGATGTACAACATGCCTTGAATGGATGTTTATTGCCTATGGATCACGTTTTGACATGCTGTCACTTCCGTGTGCGCTGAGTCAAGATGTCAGCTTGATTCTCACGTTATCCATTGTCCTAAATACAGTATACTGTATAGATAAGTGACCAACCCGTAGTTGCATGACAGGACGTTTGGTCTAAATTAGTTATTATTGGTCGTGGTATTTGAAGATCAAAAGGAACACTTAGAGAAGCTCTTAAATCCACCCACGGCGGACTCGGAGTTTACTTGGGCAGAGAATAATCTCTTCATGGAGGATGTTTACCAAGCGATGACTAGCATGAAGAATGGAAAGTCTCCTGACGTGGCTGAAATCCGAGCAGAGACCCTGAAAGCAATGAATATCTATGGGTGGGTTTTTAAGAGCGTTTACCTCTCCACCGTCACCTTTTGTCATAAGCGTTATGTAATGACCAAAAGGATCAGGTCGCCGATACAAGCTGCTAAAAAGGTTTTGGAAGCGGATGGCCTGTGTCACGCGTCGTGAGAAGATGCGAAGTGCCGCCTTCCATGAGAACCTCCATGTTGAGCAGCTACTTCGGGTCAAGAGATTCCAGACCCGTTGGCTTGTGAACTCGTCTCCCGTATGCCTCCCCAGAGACTCCCAAAAGGAGTCCTCCGATCTAAAATGACTGGGAAAATACCAATTTGTTGATCTCGTGCAAGATGAAAGGACTACATCGCGAATTTTTGTCGGGAGAGGCTCAGTATATATCCTGCCGAGATTGGCCATTACCCAGGATCGCGAACACTGGAAGATGCTCCTTGGTCTGCTCGAGCCGCGACCCCATTAAGTTGGAATAGGCGATTTTTTAAATGCATTTATAACCGTTTTGGTGGGGCCTATGTTGACCCGATGTGATCCTCCAACGTCAGGAAATGTTAGCCTGTCGGTGACTCATGTAAGCCTCATGTAAATGTGATCGTTAGGCCAACGTTGGCAGTTGCTACAAGTATCCCAACTTTAACCTTCCTATTCTGTTCGGGTCTATTTGACCCGAAACACTCATTCAACCCGATGTAACTTCCATGTGTTTCATCGAAAAAATCTGAATTTTTTTTACTTTTCCTAACTTTTCGAATATATTTACGACCTCAAAGCCGAACTCATTTCCATGAAGCATTACTGAAATATTTGTGATACCCCCTCCTGTTATGCTCGGGTCTATTTGACCCGATTGCCATACTAGCGCATTTTCAACACGGGTTACACCATCTTAAACCTTCTTGGAACAAGCTTCCGGAGCACTTGCTGTTGAGAAATGTAGTGATTCTCAAAGTCAAGTGTTCTGCCAGTTTTGGGAAAGTGCGGATTCAATCTGGCTTCGGCTACAAGAGCCCATCCGGGTCGCCGCATGACTTCTTGTTGCATTACACCCTCTTTGAGCATTTTCTTCGCTCCGTCCTTCTGTTGCTGCGTTTGCCTTGGCATATCTCTCATGTTTTTCAGAGACGGTATGAAATACACGATGGATTCAACCCTTTTTTTGTCTATGGGAATCTGAACTTTACATATGACATGGAGAAAACCTAATTAGTTTTCCTGACGTGGCACATGCAAAGCACTCAAAGGTTAACGAGCACATGCAAAGCACTCAAAGGTTAACGAGCACATGCAAAGCACTCAAAGGTTAACGAGCACATGCAAAGCACTCAAAGGTTAACGAGCACATGCTAATAATTTTCAAGAGGTGTTGACTTGTTCAGCAAAAGACAGATGTAATGCCATCACAACTACTACGCGGGCGAGCCCTACATTACCTTGTAACATTTATTTTGGGTACCGGTATATTACATGTTGGACACCTCGGCCTACAACGCATATGCGCTGTGGACTGCAATAAATCTGGGATGGCACTAGAACAAGCTCTTCAAAAGAATATTTTTCCTGGTGGAATTGGGCATGCAGTTCTTTTGCCCATTGCTAGAGACAAGAGAATATTATACATGCATACCGTCCTCTGCTACCGTCGTCATTTCTGCGCGACTGCCTAGACCATGCAATGACTCGAGCTCCTATGTAGGACTGAGTGCAACATTCAGCAAAAAAGAGCCGGATGTACTTTTTGTCCCTTCGCATATGACAACAAAACAAGCATCAACTGTACGTCGTGTGGAAAAATATTTGCAATTTGAGCACAATTAAGTTTATGTGCCTTGCAAAGTCAATAATAGATAAAGGTTTGTCGCAATTGACAATTTTGGAAATCCGTTTTTGTTGCAACATTTTGGAATTAACTCAGTGTTAACAATAATTAGGTATGCAAACATAGCTAATAAAATAATTAACGTGTGTGATCGATCCTTTTGCTATAAGAATTCACGAAGCAGCAAAAAAACTCAAGCGAATTCCTATTCAAACCATAGGAAACGTATATCGGGTCAGGGTGACCCGAACGAAAATGGTGTACCTAAAATGGGAACAGAATAGGAAGGTTAACTTACGCTATTCCCTCCGAATAATTTTGCTTTTTCCGCAGATCCGTGGTTGCAATGCTCTTGGACTAGTATCCTGAGTATCTATTTTTTTTAATACAGGGTGAGCACAAAGATCCAGGTGGCTCCAATACGAATGCGTGTGGCAAATGTATTATTTTTGGCAGGTAAGCTGAAAGCAGATGCAATGATGGCCGTTACAACTTCGCACACCATTGAATAATGGTTAATAGCTATTACATGGGCCCATAAGCAAAAAAAAATCGATATGACGATAAACCAAATGCCGAATGACTTCATATTTCGATTCTGAGGTTACCACGTCATTAGAAGGACCTGTGAAGTCATTCTCGTTTTGGTTAATTATACTTCCCTTTTTTCCAATGCAGAACGTATAAAATGGAATATTGTTTGAATATTTATCTCATCTGAAATGCTTCAGTCTATAATAGAGTATTTCATACACTGGTATTCCATGAAAACCGGGAAGAGCTCCTGAAATATATGAATGTAAAATAATTTTTGAAGATATCATCTTAAATAACCGTATTAAGTACAACTGCATCCATAAATACAGTGTAATTGCAACATTTCCTGATACTAATGTCCTCATGGAGCCCAGTAAAGCAAAACATATACTTTGACATTGCACATCCCTTACGGAAAAATCACCCGTGTGAGCAACCATATGATATTGGGACAGTGTGACCC